TGCTGAATTGCTGAGTGAATAAGAACACCATAATAGATAGCTGGGGCGGGGAGGGGGGGGGGGGGGGGGGGGGGTATGGATATTTTCTGGAACCACACATTTTGGTTCTTAGGATGCCTCTCAACCACCAGGGCAGGCATGCAAGGTATTTTAAAAGAGCACTTAAGAGCTTCATATTAAGCCAAAAAATATAACACACTTTCGAGGGAAAGGAGGTGCTTTTTCCTGGCTAACGTAATGGAGTTGACTATTTGAATAATGAGGTTGATTTAACATTCATCACAGAACAATTTATTGTGCACTAAATTACATTTTTCTTCTGAGCTTGCTTAAATCAAACAGCAGTGCTTACAAATTCATTTGAAGGCTAATAGGTTTTTTCTTGTGGTTCAGCTTTTACCATTTACCAATTTGATAGTCATTTCATTCTTGTCCTGCAAAAAATCATTCAACCAAAACATTTGAAGAAGTTGTTTCAAATTTGGTTTCAACCACTCAAAAAAAGCTAACATGTACATTTAGGCAAAGTTGCCAAATAATATGTATGTAATTTATCAAAGCCTAGTCCTTGCACTTTTTTTTCATACTGGATAACAATTACCCCGCGAACACAGTCTGATTTCCAGCTTTTTTGTTTCACGATGCTGAAAAGGCTGGATAACAATAAAACAACTCAAAAAAACAATTTTAAAGCCTTCACCGATCAACATTACCAGGCCACATCAATAAAAAGCCCCTTTCATGAGCAAATTATGGGTTTTTCAAAATCATGGGTATACTGACAAGCATTTCCTCACTTTTGCATAATTATAATATTGCCTGGCCAAAATGCAGAAAATCTTATTTTGTACAGGAACGGTTGCTATGCAGGCTAATGGTCGGACAATTCCCTCCACAAGATGTACCTGCAGGGAATCATGGCACAAGTAGTTGTATTCATCATCTTGGACTGGATATCTGTTTTCATGAATACAACTACAATCACATAGAATGATTTCCTGCAGGCGAGTCTCATAAAGGGAGTTGTCTATTATCTCGCAGTCAATCAAGTTGATCAGTGTCTCAGTTATCAAGTCTGGTAATAAATAAATATTTATCATTTCACGAAAAACATATTATGTAAAAGAATTAAAGAATGCACAATAAAACTATTTATTTATCTTAGGAGTTAACTACATTATTTTGCTTGAACGTTATTCAATACCATGTGGTATGAAAGAATTTTCAGGAGTTTTATTTCGCCAAGTGCATGTATTGAGTTAGACTCTCCCTTCCCTAGCTAGTCATTATGTGTAGATATATCATGTGACGAAGCACGAGGAATAAACACATTTCCCTTGTCAGCCATCTTGACTGTGTCTTTACATTACAGTTTCCATTTATTTACAGTGTGTGTGGAATCTTACATGCATGTTTGCTATTTACATGTAAAAAAGAGACCGATTAATAACTGCATTGCCCTGAAGTGCACACGGTAATGGTAATTACTATTAATCATTTTGCTTACCTGGTAATTGCTTCAAGCTGATTGCAATGGCTATGAACCACTTGATTTTCTGTCAAAATCTCATCTGGAAAAGAAGTGTAAATACTAGCTTTTAGTTTCCATCAAGACAACTTCCCTTCAATGTTTCTGCACTGCATAAAATTGCATTTCAAAGAGTTAACAGATGTAAATAAATTTAAAGGGAGCATGCTCCCACCTAAAAAGCATAACAAATCTTTTTCACTTTGCCATCCTCCCTAGGGGCTGCTCCTATGTGAATAGGTCAGGGAGGCTCATTGGAATGGTTGAGCTAAACCTCTAAAGGAAACCAATCTGGGAGTGGCTACTGACTAATTCAACCCTTGAAAGATACCACGTTAAACCAGACGTGACTGCATTTTTTATTTCTTTGAATGCACCTTAAAAGATACCTTGATGGCTAAAAATAGCGGCACTTTGTCCAGCACACTCTAAGTGAGACCAAAATTTGTGATTTACCCCCCTAAGCAAGTTGATACTTACAGAGGATGATAATGGCTTAGAAGCAATGATATTGTCCCTTGAGTTGCAAAAAAAGTCTGAGTCAAAGATCTTTCGGAATACATATAAAACAAAACTGTGCTACGGAACACTACGGACAAGTATAAAAAATTAATGGACTTTCCCGTTCAAGCGAATGTATTGCTTATACATGAAAAATTAGTGTTCTCATTTCAAAATGCATGAAATATATTTTCTTGCATGCAAACCCTAACCTAAGGGTTGTCATACAAAGGGATAAGTGTGACAAGATGTCATGTCCAGTTGCGTGATGATCCTTAGCACCAGGTTGTTTTCCAATTAAATTTTGAACCAGCCTGGAATTGTACTGTTTAGTTTTATTGAGACTTCGTGATTACTGTAAACATTGATATTGAACCCTAGCTGCACATATTAATTCTCCTTTCTAATTGCCCAACATGTTTTGATTCTAGTGTTGAGAATTTGGTGTTATACCTAGACTATTCCGAGTTGATAATTTTCTTTATTCCTTTTGCCTGTCTGCTTGGAAATGTATTGATACTATAAGGATAAACAATATGTCCATCACTCTTGCGACTGGCTCAGAGTACGATTTCCAAAACCTTTCAATTAAATTACATTGTGGGCTCGTTTCAAAAGAAATCCCTGGTAAAACCTGAGAAAATTCGACACCAAATACAAAATGAATATTCTTGGTGTTTATACACTATACTGCTTATATTATCAAGAAAAAGTGAAAAGGCTCTGAGAGAAATTTGTCGGGTGCACGTCAAATCAACAACCAAAAAAAATCATCTCTAGCTACATGTACATGTATCACATGAACAGCAGCCTTTCAATTTATCATCCAAATTTCTTCACATAATTTTAATTCCATAATTTTCAAACTAGGAAACTTCATTTGAGAATTGTTGTCAAAGCTACAATTTTAATGTGTGAAAACGACCTTAGCTTGAAATCTTAAAAATAAAAAATATGCAAATTTCCGCATGCTGTTCTCACGCATCATCTAAATATTTGCGTTCTAGAAGATCAAAACAATATTCCAAACTTTACTTCTGCAATCAATTGTTTTATATATTGCCGTTTTCTCTACCATTTCAAAACAATTCTCAATCCACTGAAAAAATCTAACACACATTTCAAAGAACTGTTTTTCTTCTACCTTTTTGCAGTTGCTTGGAAAAAATGTTACTGAAAAAAATCTGCTTCAGCTGAGGTTTTGAACTCCAAGACAATAGACTGTGTGCAATATATTAAAATTCAGCTTGGCAGTGAGACTTAGAGAACACAAACAAACAAAATTGAATGACCATGTTTATTCATTTCTTTTGTTGATGTCCTCTAGGCCTCGCTGTCAAGCAGAATTTTAATATATCTAAAGTGGCCTATTACTTACCAATAGGTACATATGCTCGTTTTCTTG